TTNGGGAAAATCAAATATAGTATTTTTATCATAGGATTAATTGTAAATTACACTTTGAAAATTGTTCAAATTTTAATTTGTATCCCTAAAGATAAAAAATTTTAATTTGCATACTCAAAAATTGAAATTTGTATCAATGTGTATTCTAAAAGATTAAAAATCTCAATTTGCACCCTAAAAGATAGAAATTTGTATCAATGTGCACTTAAAACTAACTGCCGTCAATTTACTACTTAAAACAAAATTAATAAATTATGTTTAGATCTCCTCATACTTGTCACTTAATCATTTGAATCTCTTCACAAAATAAAGGGTAATATAAAATTATAATTTTTTATTAGGATAAAATCATATTTTTTAACGGTTAACAGATATCAACGAAAAAGGGTTACGTGTTACACGTGCACAAACATCATGAGATGCAGAAGTAATATTCTAAATGTGAAGGAGTCTAACTGATTAAGTGACAAGTATGAGGGGATCTGAGTATAATTTATCAATTTAATTTTAGGCAGAAAATTATCGGCAGTTAGTTTTAAGTGTACATTAATGTAAATTTCTATATTTGAGGGTACAAATTAAAATTTTTGATTTTTGGGGTGTGCATATTAATATAAATTTTTATCTTTGAAAGTGTAAATTAAGATTTTGATCTTTGGGGGTGCATATTAATATAAATTTCTATCTTTGAGAGTGTAAATTAAAAAATTTTATCATTGGGGGTGCATACTAATATAAATTTTTATTTTTGAAGGTATAAATTAAAATTTTTTTATCTTTAACTGTATAAATTAAAATTTAAATAATCTTTGAGAGTATAATTTGTAATTTACCCTTTAATATATTACAAACCTGGGATGGGATGGGATGGGATGTGCGGCGCATCTTTTCTCACCATTCGGTAATTATTGGCCTCCTTTTTTTCTTATTCTTATAAATAAATATGATATGCCTGAAACACATATCACAACTCGCTGATTGTGTGGTCAATAGTAGTAGTCCTTAGTAGATTATGCCCCTTGCTCTGCAAATATCATTTTTGTCGTTACTTTCTAGCTTGGTCCTGTGGGCCATCACCACCATCATTTTCCAATGTGTATTTATTATGACACTATCCTGGGCTACAAAATTATTATGGCCCACTACTCTTATTCATTGTATGGAGTTGATTTTCATATAATATACGGTGAAAGTGAGGAGAAGAATTACGGAGCCGTTTGATTTCCGTTTTAACAAATAGTATTTAAAAATAATTTTTGTGAAAAATTTTAAGAAAGTAGTTTTAAAATTTTTTGAGATAAAAAACTTGTTTGATTAGATGATTTTAAAAACAATTTTACAATAGAAAAAATAATAAAACTTGTTTAGATAACTTAAATTTATATTTGAACAGTAATTCAAATATTAATAAAAAAATATATAAAAAAATTATTTTTAGATTGACAATTTCATAAAAAAAAATCAATTAATCAAACTTTAAAATATATATTGTTATATATGTATTTAAACGTATAAAATATGTATATATCTATATAATAAAACAGAAATGTGTTTAAATTTTATCTCAGTCATACTTTTTCTCTCAAAATTATTACCAATCACTTACCTCAATCATCATTCCTTTGTCAGACTTAAACGTCAAATCGTATAACTTATTTCTATAACATGTTTAATTATTTATATATTTCTTTCTTAAAAATATTACATCACTCATTTTTATCGTATATTTAATCATTTAATATTTTTTCACATTAGTATGTCAGTACTGATCGACTTTTTGGATGCTCGAATTTTATATTTTATCGTGTCTTTAGGCACGAGTTATGACTAATATATATATATATATATATATATATATATATATATATATGTTGTGTTCAAATGTAGATACAGCAGTAGAGATATTTGAAGGAATGTCGCTCAATGCTGCAAGGGTATGTATGTACTTGAGCAATCAAATATGTAAAATCAAATATCTTGTTGTTACAATAAAATTTCTTGTTTTTTGAGGTNATATATATATATATATATATATATATATATAATAAAGTAGTTAGATTGTTTGTTTTGAACTTTTCGCAGCTCAGATCATTTTGATCTCATGGTCCTAATTGGACTTTCATTTCTTTTACAACTCTAAAACTCTCATTTCTTGTGTAACTCTATTTCTCTCTCTCTCTCATACTATTATCTTCTTCTTTTTTCCTCTTTGTTATTTTTGTTATTATTTATTTCATAAAACAGATGAAATTGTATATTATGTAATTATTTATTCCATGAAACTAATTAATTTTTGTTATATACTGATAACATGTATTTTACCATTTGCTTCTTAATTTGTAAATAACACTTAATGTAAATAAAAAAATAACACATTGACTATAAACACTAAATAATATTCAACACGAAATGAACCTTAAATTGTAAATTTATATATAATTTTATAAAAAAAAATAACATTTAATTTTGTCTAAATTATACTCAACTTTGTCGAATTAATATCAAATTAATTTTTTAGAGTACTAAATTATATCAATTTTTTGGGTNAAACCTTAGATTGTAAATTTATATATAATTTTATAAAAAAAATAACATTTAATTTTGTCTAAATTATACTCAACTTTGTCGAATTAATATCAAATTAATTTTTTAGAGTACTAAATTATATCAATTTTTTGGGTACAAAATCAAATTTTTANAATTGTAAATTTATATATAATTTTATAAAAAAAAATAACATTTAATTTTGTCTAAATTATACTCAACTTTGTCGAATTAATATCAAATTAATTTTTTAGAGTACTAAATTATATCAATTTTTTGGGTACAAAATCAAATTTTTAAATTTTTTTTGGTATTGAATATGGAGAAAGGCCATTGTAAAAATAATAAAGTTTTTTGAGAAAAAATTATCAATTTTCGTTAGCAACGTTGATAGAAAGGAGACAGAAGGGGGTCTCTGTGCAATATATTTTAAACATCAGGGGTCTCCGTGTTATTTATAAAATATCAGGAGGTGTCTGTGTAATATAACCAAAATTTAGGCTATGTCCGTAAATTTTACCCTATTTTTTAATTAAATATTAATTTATTATTATTATTTTATCTTACAAACTTAAATTATTATATTTCTAATAAAAACAGTTCGGTTAGGAGAGTTTGTTGGTAACCAAAAAAAATGTGTGTGAGTGTGTTTCTGTGTATATTTATNTAAATTTTTTTTGGTATTGAATATGGAGAAAGGCCATTGTAAAAATAATAAAGTTTTTTGAGAAAAAATTATCAATTTTTGTTAGCAACGTTGACAGAAAGGAGACAGAAGGGGGTCTCTGTGCAATATATTGATCTAAAATATCAGGAGGTGTCTGTGTAATATAACCAAAATTTAGGCTATGTCCGTAAATTTTACTCTATTTTTTAATTAAATATTAATTTATTATTATTATTTTATCTTACAAACTTAAATTATTACATTTCTAATAAAAACAGTTATCGGTTAAGAGAGTTTGTTGGTAACCAAAAAAAATGTGTGTGAGTGTGTTTCTGTGTATATTTATCTGTGGAGGATTAAAAATTTGGTGATTAAATTTATAATTATATTATGTCATTTTAGGGTTAAATGGTAATAAATTAATGAGCATGATTTGGTTGATTTTATTTATTGCATTAAGATTGTGAATTTAATTGTATTCTGTTAGTTTTTTTTTTGCTTGAGGTATTTATTCCATGGGAATATGGTAGATTGAAAATATAGTGAGTGAATTTATAATTATTTTGTGTTATTAGATTGAGTGGTAGTAGAAGTGATAAATTCATGAGTATTATAAATGAATCAAATTTTATTTATTGGTTAAAAATTATAAATTTCAACGAGTTATGTTAGTATTTATTTTTTTTCCAGGGGCATTTATATATGTGGTGTTATTTTGGAAAATTTTTATATATTTTTATGACAGTTCCATTAATATAGAGGATATGATCGACGATATATTCGAATCATTTTAAAAAAAAAATTAGTACAAATATTTTTATGTCATTCCTTTTAAATTTGGACAATTATTTAAGATTTTTTTATTTATTATATAGTATCTTCAGACACGGGTAATAACTAGTATATATATATATATATTGTTGTTGTTCTTGTTTCCAAAATTTTCAAAAAAAACTCTGAAAACAAACTACATTTGTTTTTTATTTGTTTGACTCAAATCTTATTTTTTTTCTCCAAAATTTAGAAAACAAAAATTCTAAACAAACAGATTTTAGGTGTTTTTGAAATTTTGAAAACAAAAAATTATTTTGGGATCACAAACCAAACATGACCACAGTTTTTGATACAATTCTACTCGAATCTAGTGAAAAGTTGGTATATATATGCTCTTATTTTAGGCTTTAATTTAATTATTGCGTTGGTTGCTGCCTCTTCTTTCCTTAATCACTTTATGAACTAACTACCACATTTCTTTCAGTAATTGCAAAAACACACCAGCGTCTCTGGTGAGCAAAGGTTCACTTTTCATAGTTGCTATGCTGACTATTGGGCGTGAGAATTGCACAAGATTCACTTGCGTTTCATAATGGTAGATCTGTACCAAATCTATTCCATTGATCCCATTAATAAAGACTAAACTGGGTGTCATTTATTTTTCGTGATTCAGTGTCAATGTGTTAGTTTTTGACCGAAAATTAAAAAAATATACGAGTTTCAATATGCGCAAAAAATATGACACTTAATCAAGTGCGAGGAAGAAATACAAAAATTTGCTGCATATGACAGAATATGTGCAAATTCCTCTTTTTTTAAAAAAATTAATAAATGCAATGAGTGACAAATATTAATGTCGTTGCCATTTTATACTTGGTGATATCTGGCCTTGTATTTACTAAATGTTGATGGCCATTCCAACCATTGCTTCTCACTGCCTATATACTTACTTGATATATTACAAGAACCAAACAAGAAGGTTAAAAGAATGAAACTGGCGAAAATGAAAGGTGGGGGAAAGAGTACAGATTGGAATCCAACACTCCTTACGTTAAAGAATTATGGTCCCAACTTCTTATTACATATAGTAGGATAATAATAGCATACATATTGGAATCTTTTTCGTGCACTTGTGTTGTGTGTGAAACATGGAGCATTCGGAGAGCTATATAACTCCGGTGTCGTCTGAGCCCAGGAAGCCTGCTCCGGACACACTCACGTATGAACAGACTGGTAAGCTTCATTCACCCCCACCCTCCTCTTCTACTTTATTCCGATGATGGAAAAAAGAAACAACACTGAAAAGTTTTCCAATATAGAATGATATAGAAGATTTTTGTCTCTTTTGGAACTGTTTTCTATCTTTCCTACGTTTCCATTTAGGTTTGATATGCTTCTGATCTTCGTGACTCCCAACCATTATTCTCTATTAAGCATTTGGATTGTAAACACCCTTTGATCTTTATCATTATCATCAATGCATACACCACGATTAAAGAAGGCTATTCCTGTAATCAAATAGATCTTAGACTTTTTGTATAGAGTTGCACACAACAACCAGGATTTTGAAGATCGGTCGTTACGGTACGTAACGGCCGTTATATAACAATAACGATGAACTCCGATTCTGTTACACCGCTATAGCGGGTAGAATAAATTTCACGTCGGCCGTTACGAACGGAGTGTAACGGGTATTATAAGAGCTTTACAGTCCGTTACACTACCTAAACGGCCTAATTTTGTAGTTTCGACTGCTCATCCATGGTGGTTTCATGGCCGGAAGAGATGACCGGCTAGAAAGACGGTAGATAAAGGTTTGTGGGTTGAGAAATGACAGGCTATCATTGGGTGGCAGATTTTTAGAGAGGCAAAAATTAAGTGGAGCACATTCTTTTTACAACCTATATACTGAATGATTGTTATTCATTATCAATTAATTTAGTCAATGAATAAATGACAAGTGTCATGTTTTTTGACATTGTGAAGGAATGTATTTAAATAGATTAAAAATTTGTAAGTGATGGGTCCTCCTTTTACGAATTTACCAGCTAATATTTTTTATTTACAATTGCAATTTTTTTTTATCTTACCCCAATGATCTAAATTTATTTTGACTATTCCCTATTTTGAATATAATTTTTAAATAAATATATATTAATTGTTTAAACTAATTTTCTTTCGTTTGCTCTAAATTTGGAATAATTAAGCAATTTAGCATATTAAAATCATTAATATAATAAAAAATTATTATAAATTACAAAAAAACTGAATTTATTTTATTTTGGTCCAAATATATAGAAAATTTTGATTTTTGCCTATAGTTGTGAATGAATTAACGAAATTCACGACTTCGATTTCCGTTACTGTTACGTAACGCCCGTTACACCTCGTGCCCATTACACCATTATTAATACCGTTACATCACTCGTTACCGATATTCAGAACTATGATAACAACCCCACCTTGTGAAGTTGAATGACATGATCCATTATCAAAGAGAAATTCAAGATTGTTGGACAATTTGTCAAGTATGAAGAAATTCATGTTCCATGCCTATGCAAGATAAAGCACACGAAAAATATAAGAGAGTTTAGATTCTGTACCTGCGCTTTCTTTATTCCATCTTAAACAGCAAGTTTTTATGATCCATGTTTATGAGAACCTGGTTGGTATATATACTACTGAAACAAAGTTTTCTGCAGATGAGGTGAATGATTCTCCAATTGAGCAAGTCCGACTCACAGTCTCAATAACGGATGATCCATCGTTACCATGCTTGACCTTCCGGACATGGGTTTTGGGGCTCACTTCTTGCGCTCTTCTGGCTTTCTTGAACCAATTCTTTGGTTATCGCCAGAATCCACTATATGTATCCTCTGTTTCAGCCCAAATTGCGGTACTTCCCATTGGAAAGCTTATGGCTGCATATCTGCCCAACAAATCCATACGCATTCCCGGAACCAAATGGTCCTTTTCGTTAAATCCGGGGCCTTTCAACTTGAAAGAGCATGTTCTGATCACCATATTTGCTAATTCAGGCTCAAGTCCTGTTTACGCATTGGGCATTATTACGATCGTGAAAGCATTCTATAAACGGAAGATTAATGCTATCGCAGCGATGTTACTAACGCAGACTACTCAGGTAAATTTCTTTAGGTCCAACTAACCTAGTCTACTCAATTTATTTATACTTGCTTTCATTTGACATCGAAACTGATATTACTGTCAAGATTTATCATCAGCTTATTACTGCATCATCCATGCCCACGTCGGTTGTAAAACTGTTTAAGATCATCTCTAATAAAAACTCAAAATTTTATCCAAATTTGAATAAATAAAATGAGTAAAAAGTTTNATCAAAAACTGTTTAAGATCATCTCTAATAAAAACTCAAAATTTTATCCAAATTGAATAAATAAAATGAGTAAAAAGTTTAATTTGGTATATATATCTCCAATGGTGAANGTTGTAAAACTGTTTAAGATCATCTCTAATAAAAACTCAAAATTTTATCCAAATTTGAATAAATAAAATGAGTAAAAAGTTTAATTTGGTATATATATCTCCAATGGTGAAACTCATATTTAAAAGAAGAGAAATTCAAATTTAAATGAAAACAAACTTAAATTTAAAAGAAGGTAAAATATGATTATTCGATCTTTAAAATATAGTGAAATCTCACCATTAAAAATTTGAGAATGAATTTAAGTTTTTCTTTGAGTAAAAAAAATGAGTCTATGTTGATTTTGATAAGAGTACGAGTCTAACGTTAGAGAAGGTTTTTAAAATTTTTTATCCAATAGGTTTAAAAAAATGGAAGGGTCGGAGATACTCTAAGAGACATGTCATATTTGGTGAAAATTTTATCTTGCCTCAAACTTTCCGAATATTCTCCGTTATCTTTTCTCTGATGATTCTTAATTGCTGGAACATATAGTTGCTTGGATATGGTTGGGCTGGTATTTTCCGGAAGTTCCTAGTTGATTCACCATACATGTGGTGGCCTTCCAATTTGGTTCAAGTTTCTCTCTTTAGGTGCGCTCTCTCTCTCTCTCTCTCTCTCTCTCTCTCTCTCTCTCTGTGTTCCAGCTCAAACTCTATTTTGAACTTGTAGGGCTTTGCATGAGGATGAGAATAGGCCAAAAGCGGGCCTGACGAGACTGCAGTTCTTCCTTGTGGTCCTTATATCAAGCTTCTCATACTACATCGTGCCTAACTTTCTGTTTCAATCCATAACTGCTCTCTCCTTTGTCTGTTGGATATGGAAGGACTCTGTCACAGCACATCAAATTGGTTCTGGTCTCCGTGGCCTCGGTATTGGCTCATTTGCTCTTGATTGGGCAACTGTTTCAGCATTCTTGGGAAGTCCCTTAGCCACCCCTGGATTTGCTATCGTGAATATCCTGGCTAGTTTTATTATAGTTCTCTACATTATGATCCCAATTGCCTACTGGAACAACTTGTATGAAGCCAAACGATTTCCAATTTACTCTACGCATGTGTTCAATGCTGATGGAGGGTTATACAATGTTTCAATTATTTTAAACGAGAAAACCTTCCAGTTCAATCGGCAAGGATATGATGATTATAGCAAGATTAATTTGAGCATCGCGTTTGTATTTGCCTATGGTCTAAGCTTTGCAACATTGGCTGCCACAATATCTCATGTTGCACTCTTCCATGGGAGGTATATTTCTTGTTCTCTCTTGCATTGTTTTTCTACAGATTAGTGGATACACGGGCTAGATGTGTAATTCTGGTTATCCTGGTTTGTCAATTTCAGAACAATTTGGCGACAAACAAAGGCATCTGTGCAAGACAATTTTGGTGATGTCCACACTAGACTAATGAAGAAAAACTATGATCCTGTCCCTCAGTGGTGGTTTCACTCAATCTTGATAGTGGTAATTGGACTAGCATTGCTTACCTGTGAAGGGTTTGGCAAACAATTACAGCTTCCTTATTGGGGAGTCCTATTGGCAATTGCTTTGGCTCTGTTCTTCACCCTTCCAATTGGTGTGATTACAGCTACGACAAACCAGGTAAGTATCCATATATCACAAGGTTTTTTAGTGACTTTTTTTTTTCTCTAATACTTGATCAGATTGTGAAATATTTGTGCAGCAACCAGGACTAAATGTCATCACCGAGCTAATTATTGGTTACATGTATCCGGGGAAACCACTTGCCAATGTGGCCTTCAAAACCTATGGTTACATAAGCATGTCACAAGCCATTACATTTCTCTCCGATTTTAAGCTAGGTCACTACATGAAAATCCCTCCAAAATCCATGTTTGTTGTTCAGGTAATCGCTAAGCTTCTCTGCCCCCGTTTCATCTGCTTTCAATTACCATTTTTTGATTGATCTAACTGATGTAGAATGGAATTGTTTAAGTGACACTAACACTTGACCATAATTCTTAATGAAGTTAGTGGGAACAATAGTTGCATCATCGGTCTATTTCGGAACAGGTTGGTGGCTCCTGACCACAGTGGAATACATATGCGATCCATCTAAATTGCCTGAAGGAAGCCCGTGGACATGCCCTGGAGACGAGGTATTCTACAATGCATCAGTGATATGGGGTGTTGTTGGCCCTCGCCGCATGTTTGGTAGCCTTGGCCTATATTCCAAGATGAATTATTTCTTTCTGTTTGGGATTCTTTCACCTTTGCCTATTTGGTTCCTTTCTCGAAAATTTCCGGAGCAGAAATGGATAAGGCTAATAAACATGCCCATTCTTCTGTCAAGTGCCCCGGGGCCACCAGCCAGGGCCGTAAACTACATCTCTTGGTTGGCTGTGGGCATTTTCTTCAACTTGGTCGTGTATAGGAGGTTTAAGGGTTGGTGGGCAAGGCATAACTACATTCTATCCGCAGGGCTTGATGCTGGGGTTGCTTTCATGGCCATACTTTGCTACTTCACATTACAGGGACACGATATCAACGGACCCGCGTGGTGGGGTATGGAGTTAGATGATCATTGCCCTTATGCAAGTTGTCCTACTGCCCCTGGTATACATGTTGAAGGGTGTCCGCCCCTGGTTAAAGCTTGAAGACTGTCCTCCTCTCTTCCATATATTGTTAGATTGTTATGTACCTTAATTTTGGTTAATGTATGCACAGGACTACCAAGTTCTGTAATACAACTAAATTAAAGATGCACACACCCGAGAAACAAACATAAAAATGTTTGGTGTTCCTATCTATTCATCCAACTTGAAAGTTCAAAGAAGAATAACTCTGCATAAAAGAAAAATTGCACCCATGCGTCTCCTATTTATAGTTTGACAAATGCGCATTAGTCGCATAAAATACATAGGAAAACAATAATTGTCTTATTAATTACAGGGTTCACGGAAAAATACATAATGTCCGAAGAACAAAGATTTTACCCCCATTGTACTATGTTAGGGGTGATTAACAACTGATATACTGTGACAGCAGAAAACAAGGGGAAACCAAAATAGAAAACGGGTAAATAACAAATATAGTAAAAAATTTGGGTCGATGAAAACCACATATTTTTCTTTTTCTCTAATGTCTCATTCCAAACTAGACCTTTTCCTCACAACAAGGAACTAATTTTTTGGCAAAACCCAAAAAGAGAAAGAGCAAAGGCGGCATAACGGGAAGTGCACAGCATCCGGCAAATCCACAACTAGAAACTTTACCATTACATTTGGTATGTAGTCAATTGAACATGGGCATGTATTCCAGCGCCTCTTTTGTGGTAGCAAAAATGTGTTCCTCATTTTTATGTCTAATCCCATTAATGTAGGAATAGTCATTCCAAAAATATGAGAAGTTAATGGAAAATGTTACCTGAACCTAATTTGGGGAATCCAATTCAATACAATCATTGCATTTAAAGTGGGCTCAATTTAAAATTAAAATTCGCAACTAATCTAATAATTGTCTTAAATTACATCCTAAAATTACGTTTAAGTACTTTCACTCAAAATTATTACTCATTATATGAACACACAATCACATTGGCCATTACCCCAACCACAATCACCTCAGCTCATTCCAACCACCACCATTTCGACCATCTCAATGTCATCATTATCACCACTCACCTCCGCCACTATTGCCATTATCACTTTATCGTCGTTGCCATTATTAACACCACCACCGCTACAACCATGTAATTATCTAAAAAAAAAAATTATTTTATTTTAGTGCATTGCTACCTAAGAGTAATTATATATATAAAAATAAACAAATAATTTAAAGAAGACTGATGTGTCTCTAATAAAAGACTTGTCCTATACAGACCTATTAGAACTGTTTTATGTGTGTTTTAAATATAATAGTATTGTTGAATAAATCAAACTTTTTATATATAGGTATAAATATATTTAGGTTTGATATAGTCTTTTAGTGAGAAGGGTTGTGAAGACATCTATCTAGTGAAAAGAAAAAAAAATATCTGAGAGAGAGAAAGAAGAAAGGAAGTAAGAAAAGATGAATGAAAAAAGAAAAAAAAGGTTGAATCCATTAAAGGTATGAATCGATTTCTTTTCTTATGGCTTTTATACTTTTATATAATATATATATATATAGTAATTGACTAGTTTGTTCATCCTTAAAAAGAGGATAAACCTGTTCAATAGTTTTGACTTGTAATTATTCATTAAAGGCTTTAAGGAGCCAACTAGTTTTATAGATGTCTCGATGGGATACTTTTGAGATATTTCATCCAATCCAATCTACTCTTGTTTCTCCAAACTCATGTTCTTCTTCATTTACTATATTAGGTATAGTGTTTAATGAAGATCTAGATGAACTAGCTATAGAGTTAGATCTAAATAATCTACTCATTATTAAATCTAATTTTTCAATTTTATAAATTTATGTTTAATTTTGACTCCATTGTACATACCCCCTAACAAGGATACAATATATATATATATATATATATATGGTACCTTATTGATCCTTGAAATTACCAGAAATGCACGACGTGCGTTGCACGTGAATATATCTAAATAACAATTTTTTTATAAGAAATTCAAATTATATATGTAAATAAATTGAATCATAAATTATGTGTAGAATAATTAATTCTTATTTTAACTATTGTTAAACTTAATTATTGATTTATTAAAAAAAATCTATCATTTGTTTAGATATCTCCTTAACCCATTAGACAATTTGTTATTTACATAGATATAAAAAATGTATGAAAGTGTATTACTAATAAATGAGTATAAAAGAATTTATAATTCAAATACTATTAATAGAAAAATTCAAAATAACTTAGAAGTCAAATAGGTATAAGAAATTAAACGTGTATAAAAGTAATAAATAATTTAAAATTTAAATACTATAATAAAAGAGTCCAAAATAACTTAAAAGTCAAATAGGTATTAGAAATAAAAATGAGATGAAAGTAATATGTGGGTATTATAAACTTTATAATAATAATTAAGGATAAAATAGGAATATCAAAGTTTTTTTACAGATACTGATATTTATAAGTAGTATAAAATAGATATAGATATAAATATAGATTATATTAAAGGGTTAATCTCATTTTGCACTCCGAAAGATTGTTCGAATCTCAATTTACATCCTCAAAGATCAAAAATTTCAATTTACACCCTCAAAGATAGAAATTTGTATCAATGTGCACTCCCAAAGATTAAAAATCTCAATTTGCATCCTCAAAGATAGAAATGTGTATCAATGTGCATCCTCAAAAATAAAAAATCTCAATTTGCACCTTCAAAGATAGAAATTTGTATCAATGTGCACCTAAAATTAAATTAATAAATTATACCTAGATCCCCTCATGTTTGTCACTTAATCATTTGAACTCCTTCACATTTAGAATATTCCCCTTACATCTCATGACGTTTGTGCATGTGTAACACATAACCACTTTTTGTTGATATCTATTAATATAATCGTTAAAAAATATGATTTTATCCTAAAATAAAATTATAATTTCATATTACCTTTTATTTTGTGGATTCGATATACTCTAAAGTTGAAAATCAAGCTTACCATTTGAATGTCTAATAAAATGTAGATATTTATATAAAAGGTAATATGAAAAATATTATATAAATATTTATATTTTATTAGACATTCAAATGGTAAACTAGATTTTGAATTTTAGAGTATATTGAACCTATAAAATAAAGGGTAATATGAAATTATAATTTTTTATTAGGATAAAATTATATTTTTTAACGGTTATATTAATAAATATCAATGAAAATGAGTTACGTGTTATACGTGCACAAATGTCATAAGATGTAGGAGTAATATTCTAAATGTGAAGAGGTCTAAATGATTAACTGACAAATATGAGGAGATTTATATATAATTTATCAATTTAGTTTTAGGTACACATTGATACAAATTTTTATCTTTGAGGGTGTAAATTGAGATTTTTTATCTTTGGGGTACACATTGATATAAATTTCTATCTTTGAGGGTGCAAATTAAAATTTTTGATCTTTGAGGGTGCACATTGATACAAATTTTTATTTTTGAGGGTGTAAATTAAAATTTATAATCTTTGAGGGTACAAATTGAGATTCGAACAATCTTTCGGGATGCAAAATGAGATTAACCCTATATTAAATTGAGTTATGTAGTTTTTTTGAGATTTAATAAAGTTTTATATATAGGTTGAAAAGGAAATAGGGATTTAACTTGCTAAAGTTGCTGGATAATGGAATTGGGATTTTCGTAGCCAGAAGAAGATTAAATCTAAAAATTACAGGATCATTCCCTTTAGTTTCAAAGAGCTTTAGTTTGACTCCTATATTCTTCTAAACTTAATTTTAACTATTGTTTTACTAGGTAAGTTCGAAGAATATAATTTTTTAAAATTTATGGTAGTTTAGAAAATAGAAAATTCATTTTTCAAAGAAATTACACTTTGACCCCAAAGTTTCAAAATAATTATGATTTAACCCCAAAACTTTAGAAACATTTTCTAAAAAGTCTAGACTATTTCTATACCCTATTACCACATATTATAAAGTATATTTATATGTACATGATATATATTAAGTATATGTCAATAGGTAGAAAGTACAAAAATTAAATATAGAATCGAGAAATTTCAAAATTAGGAATAGGAATTGATTGGTACATGTTATTTTGATTTAGTTGGTGATTGCATTGAGGTTGAGAAAGAGAAATTTGAATTGGATTTTGGGAATCAAAGCGAGTAGTTTATTACTTCTTTTGGGAGGATTTTTTATATTAAATACGTGGGTGCGTGCGTGTGAATTTTTCATATATATGATATATATGTGTTGATGTTTGAGATTGCAATTAAATATTTTGCACTTGTGAACTATTATATATGTGAATTTTGGAAAACTTGTGGGATGATTTTATATCATTGATTTGATGATGAAAGGAAAATTTTGTATGCGTTGAGACTAAAACTACAGTTTTGATATGTGTGAAAATCATGTTTATGAGACGAGAACTGAGTTACCAAGTCTAAATGATAACAAGATTGTATACCCATGTGATCGGTATAGGGATGTGCACATACAGGTCAGTCATCAGACTAGTGATGACAAGAGATTGAGCTAGTTACTAGGCTAGCGGTAACAAGAGACTGAGCTAGTTATCAGGCTAGTAGTAACAAACATGATTTGAAAAATTTATTTGGAACTAAATGTGTGTGTGAGTATTTTTGGGTTATAAATGTTTTTTCATTTATAAAGTTATTGGTGAAAATGAGTGGTATTTTGGGTTATAAATTTCTTTTTATAAAGTTATTTGTGATCATGAGATCATTTTGTTTAAATGATTATATGTGAGGGGTTGTGGTACAATTTGTTGTACTTATGTGTGTATTAAAGTTTATTTTTGTATATAAATTGTAGGATTTATTTTCACGCCTCATTAGAGGTGGTTGTTATTCACAGGCCGTTGTGCTCATATAAACATTTAATATTTTTCAGGTGAGGATCAGGATGAAAAGTAAGTCCACAGATAGGTAAGAGATTAGAGGAACTGAAGAGTTATTTTATTGTATGTCTTTAGGAATAAATGTCTTTTATAGTTTTGAGACAAATATTTAATTGTTTTGGGAACAATATTGCTTATATTTAGAGTAGTAAACCTTATGTTTTACTTATTGTTTTACATGGATTTGGTAATGATGTTTGTGACTTTTAGTTTATTCCTCTGGTATTTATTAAGTTGGTGAAAGATCACTTGATTATTTGTCTTCCGCTGTATTTTGCATTTATTATGCATAAG